AAAAGAATTCCTCTGGAAAAGACAAACAAAAAAGAGAATCAGAGGCCAGAAATTCTTTTTACAATTTCTCTATTGCCAAGAGACCCATATAAAAACGCGGGTACAAAAATGGCACTTTCTTTCTTTGACGCGATTTTATATCTACGAGTTCAACATCTCTTTAAAAGGATACTTGTCCTCAAGGACCAACTCTTCCTCTTTTTCTTCTGCGACGGGTTTATCCGCCTCTTCCAGCCCCAGCAGATTCACCACTGGTTGGGCTTCTGGATCCTGCTGATCCTCCGGCGTCAGCATCTGCACCAGTTCCCGCATGTACGATGACTGTACAAAAAAGATAAAAGAAAAAGCCCCAAGCAAAGCATCAAAAATTATTGCATGCGCTGCTTTGTATTTACATGCTATTGTTTACCTTGTCTAAATGTTGAAACTCTTGGGGATCTAGCCCTGATATCTGCATAATTCTGAGAGAAAACTTCAAATTCTTCATCATCAGAATCTAGCCCATTAAAAAATATGTTGGGCATAGATCCTACTATGCATTCTTTAACTTTAGCTTTATCTAATTTCAAAATTCTTTTCTTCCTCTATATTTGGAAGGCATGCACAAAAAAGCAAAGCCAGCATGAAAAGCAAAAGCATTGTTAATCTTTTTTTTTTTAAAGCAAAAGAAAATTGGCTAACCTTGTTCCTGATGAACTTCACCAGCCAGACCAAAAAGACTGCCAAAGACGTAGCCCCAGCACCTCCAAGGCCCATGAAAACCAAGACCATAGAGGTCCACGGGTCCACATACGCTTCGACGTGGGCAACACCATGTTTGATGTTCACAGTCACTTCGGGCGTGGACGACGGCGCCTTAATGACTTGTGGCACCTCATGGGCCACTACGACACTTTGCTGCGTCGAGGGCGGCGCCCGAACCACGTACGGCGTTTTGCTTGCCGGCACGTGTACGACAGCCAGGTTGGCAGTAGGCGCCACAGGGTGAGGCTCGTCTGTACGTACAAAAAATATCTTTTAATATCTGGTGAAGGAAAACTATTTTTTTGTAAATATATATAATGTAAGGTGTTGGCTATGTGTTATGATGCTATATGGAATGAGATATGTGTTGTGAGTGTTGTTTTTGCAATGTTTATGCTTGTATGGAAAAGCTGAAAAAACTCACCAACCACCGGCCGAACTGCCGCCGTCGAGATCTCCGGTTAGGGGCACAACCTCCTCGCACCACCTCCACGGCGTCACAACACAATCCATGTCTACATGACGCCCGACGCAGACCATTTGCGACACCAGCTTCACCTCCTGCAGAAACAAGAAAGCTGTTATTCCCATCTTGGCAAACACCGTCGAAACACTCACCTTGAGATCCGCCTGACAAACGCAGTCCAACAACAGCGTCGACCCAACGAACGTCACCCAACGTCCGTAGCCACCAGGGGTTCCAATACCCACATCTTCTACTCCTCTGCCTTTCACTGAAGGATCTCAGGGGAATTTGTCCACCATTTTGGATGGCCTGGACCAGTTTGATGGGTTTAACCTGATGGCCCGCCGTCCAGATGGGACCCTGGTTCAGGCGGAATTTTCACCTATGTCCTTCTGGCTTGATGTCCTAACCTGGGTAGGCAGTGCTCTGGGTGTCGGTTCCTCACTCATCGCTGGGATTGTCTGCTGTTGCAGGAGTATTAAATGCAAGGTGTGCAGATTTTAACACTGGATTAATGGATCTTGGCTTAACCTTTGTGTTTTGGCTTTGCTTTTGCTTTTGCTTCTGTGCAATAGAGGGAAAGGGCTAATAACGAGATTAACGTTAATAGGCAGGAGGAAACTCGTTCATTTCCTAATCCTTCCTTTGAGGAAATGGAAATGGATGAGTTACCATCTCTGGCCACTGTCCGACCTTTAATGGCTTCTTTCCGTAAGCATGACCTTTTGCTTGCAACTTGCATGTGCCTTGACTTTTGATGTTCTCAGGTCCGGTCCGAGCAACTCGATGCAGCGGAGGTCTTTGCGCGGCTGGGGTGGCTCCTGCTGCGTGCCTGGATGCTGCAGAGGATTCGTTCTAGGCGGGCCAGGACTATACCAAGGAACCCAGCTCCAATGCCTGTTCCTGCAGCGGACAATATAAGCTTGGACAGTTTCCACACTGTTGGAGATCTAGTTTAAATGCGCGCATTGTATGTTTTTCCGCGTGTCTTAGGAATTGTTGTTGATAGGGGGACTTTAATAAAATATTGTCTCCTGAATTGGTTGTTGTCCCTTTTCCTTTTTTGTTTGTTTCTTCCACAGCTGTCTTTCCAACAGGTCATCAAAGGCAAAGCAACCAGTCTGTAGCAAAACACTAAACACAGGAGTAAGTCAATGAACAAAACACACACCTGTAAAGTCTTGTAAGGTCCATAAAGGTTCTTCAAAATACACAATTGTAAGATCAACACTTGCTGGTACTCCTGATAAAATACTCACACAATACACATAGATATATATATATATATATATATATATATCACAAGATAGACAGATAGACATGTCAGTGATCTACATTCATACCCAACAAGGAAATATAGAGTCTATAAGGTAAACTTAGGATATAAGCAAANTTTACCCTAGATTGGAGATGGACTCCTCCACAGGAATCTTGTCCATTCGCTGATCACTTTCTGAAAAAGAATTCCGCTGGAAAAGACAAACAAAAAAGAGAATCAGAGGCCAGAAATTCTTTTTACAATTTCTCTATTGCCAAGAGACCCATATAAAAATGCGGGTACAAAAATGGCACTTTCTTTCTTTGACGCGATTTTATATCTACGCGTTCAACATCTCTTTAAAAGGATATTTGTCCTCAAGGACCAACTCTTCCTCTTTTTCTTCTGCGACGGGTTTATCCGCCTCTTCCAGCCCCAGCAGATTCACCACTGGTTGGGCTTCTGGATCCTGCTGATCCTCCGGCGTCAGCATCTGCACCAGTTCCCGCATGTACGATGACTGTACAAAAAAGATAAAAGAAAAAGCCCCAAGCAAAGCATCAAAAATTATTGCATGCGCTGCTTTGTATTTACATGCTATTGTTTACCTTGTCTAAATGTTGAAACTCTTGGGGATCTAGCCCTGATATCTGCATAATTCTGAGAGAAAACTTCAAATTCTTCATCATCAGAATCTAGCCCATTAAAAAATATGTTGGGCATAGATCCTACTATGCATTCTTTAACTTTAGCTTTATCTAATTTCAAAATTCTTTTCTTCCTCTATATTCGGAAGGCATGCACAAAAAAGCAAAGCCAGCATGAAAAGCAAAAGCATTGTTAATCATTTTTTTTTAAAGCAAAAGAAAATTGGCTAACCTTGTTCCTGATGAACTTCACCAGCCAGACCAAAAAGACTGCCAAAGACGTAGCCCCAGCCCCTCCAAGGCCCATGAAAACCAAGACCATAGAGGTCAACGGGTCCACATACGCTTCGACGTGGGCAACACCATGTTTGATGTTCACAGTCACTTCGGGCGTGGACAACGGCGCCTTAATGACTTGTGGCACCTCATGGGCCACTACGATGCTTTGCTGCGTTGAGGGCGGCGCCCAAACCACGTACGGAGTTTTGCTTGCCGGCACGTGTACGACCGCCAGGTTGGCAGTCGGCGCCACAGGGCAAGGCTCGTCTGTACATACAAAAAATATCTTTTAATATCTGGTGAAGGAAAACTATTTTTTTGTATATAAATATAATGTAAGGTGTTGGCTATGTGTTATGATGCTATATGGAATGAGATATGTGTTGTGAGTGTTGTTTTTGCAATGTTTATGCTTGTATGGAAAAGCTGAAACAACTCACCAACCACCGGCCGAACTGCCGCCGTCGAGATCTCCGGTTGGGGGGGCACAACCTCCTCGCACCTCCTCCACGGCGTCACAACACAATCCATGTCGACACGACGCCCGACGCAGACCATTGGCGACACCAGCTTCACCTCCTGCAGAAACAAGAAAGCTGTTATTCCCATCTCGGCAAACACCGTTGAAACACTCACCTTGAGATCCGCCTGATGAACGCAGTCCAACAACAGCGTTGACCCAACAAACGTCACCCAACGTCCGTAGCTGCCGGCGTCCCGCACCTCCTCTCCGCAAACGTCCCGACACTTGAAGACACCGTCGTCTGGACCGCAGTCCACACCCACACTGACCAGCAACCACAGCAACAACGTCACGATCCTCAGGAATGCCATCTGCGAAAATTTCAAAAAAATTGTTATTTCTGATTGTAAAAAAAACTTTTTTTTGGGTTTACTCACTTTGTTGAAGTCTTCTCTTGAAGAAGTTGAAGATTCCTAGCAGCACAAAGTCACTCAGTAATCGAACGATTCGCGGAACAATGTTTGAGGCCACCAGCTCCAGGAGACCCATCAACTTTTGTCGACTTTTGGAGGCAGGAAGTCGTTAACTACGCATCCGTGTCCGTTACAAAAATCGTTGAATTACGATCAGAAAAATTTGATAAAAATAGACTAAGCTAACAATGCTCACCAAAGTCAACCGCCAAAATTTCAGGCCCAACGGATCATCCGTTAACGAATGGCACTTGATGCCAACTGAAAGAAGATATTATCATTCTTCTTGATCCAAACATCTGTCGGATCCATGCCTGATTCCTCCTGATGGATAGCAATAACAATTGCCATTTCCATAAAAGCCTTTATGGCTCCTGAAAGAAACAGCAACGGAAAATAGGGCACTGTTGCACTGAGTCTCGCACTTGGTTCACTTGTTGTTCCTTTTTCTGCTGACTTTCGCAAAATTATGGAACCTTTTTTTTATTTGTGCGGGGTGAGTTTGTTATCTTAGAAATACAGTAACTTACAGAAGACCCTTTTTTGTAGTTTCAGAAGAAACCTTTTAGAAAGCCTAGAAACGGGAAATTGCTAAAGCGAAGATAATCGCTGGAATTTCCTTGATGAGAAGTCTTGACAACTTCTCATGACAAGCTACAATAACCTTCCTCAGGTAATTAAAGTACAATCAATCCTGAAACCCTGGTGGGCTCCACTCTTTATGAAATTCGAGTGATATTCGGTTCTCTTGTTCTTGTTGCGCATGGTGATTATCACCGATGTGTAACCAGCGCAATTATATTTCACTCAGAGCAATTTCTACCTTGTTCATTTCACGGATTGGGATTTCTGCTATTAGGGTCGCGATGATTGTTTCCTTTGTTTCCCCCATCTAGGCTGGCTAGGTTTAAATACCCCTGCTTGGTGAAATCTCAAGAGAGATCTCATCCAAGCTTCATACAGTAAACTCCATAGCCAAAACTCTGTTAAAGCTCAAACCTATTTTGAAGTAAAGTACAAGCTGGACTTGTGTGTTTGTGTATTTGTATTGTTGTATTGAATGTTTGTATGTGGATGAGAATATTGTATAAAGGATATTAATCCAGAATAAGAACTTGGTTCTTTTATTCTCGCCTCAGTCCTGTAATAGAAAGGACAACAGTGCGTTGGGAGGGCGTTCTCGTGCCATTATGGCAAGACCGTTGTGAAAACGTCATCTTGGTCTTTACTCAACACCCTGCCCCCAAACGTTTGCAGGGGGGGTTTTGAAAGGGGATTGGAACCCATTGCCAAGGGGGTTGAAACCGTTGAGCCTGAGAGGCAATAAAAAAAGGGCAATATTGCCTACCATTCTATTGCCATTGGCAAAGGCATTCCCAATTCCCCAGCAAATAATGGGGCGTTGAGGTATCAACCGTTTTGAGAATGGCATTGACAACGCCATTGCAGCCCTGTTTTCAGAATGGGGCTGATTGCCTCCAACGCCCTTTGGTTTATTTACATTGGGAGAAAGGGATGGCAAGGCGTTGACAACGCCATTCTCCAAATCATTTTGGAAATTCGATGCAATTTCAAGATTGCATTAGTGTAACATACTTTGCAGGCATTGAATGGATAATTTTCAAATGTCAAACCTGTAATCATAAAATCAGTGTTTTCCGCAGAATCTTCGGTGAAATACGTCACTGGGGAAATATTGAAGAATATTAAAATGATCAGTGTTTAAAAATATTATCCTTATTAATTTAATTTTTCATATTTCAGAAAAAAATGTTCTTTGACAAAAATAACGACAAAAGCATAGCAGAATGGGAGAAAAACTATTCTACCCATTCTGGGAAAAAATTAATGGGGATGATAACTAATATTTCAGACAATAATAAATCCTATTACAGGATTTTATCCTGCAGAAAATTTTCTTATAAAATAACTATTTTGACAGTAACAACTGTCACCAAAGAAAATGAACATGTTAGGAGAGAGGCTGATGGAAGAACCAGATTCTTAAATTTAATTAATGAAGTAATGTAAAAAATTAAATTAAAAAAGTTTTTTTTATTTTTCTCTCTCGTCACATCACATACAATTTCCACACTTGCGTTGAATTGAAGTTCAGAGTTAGAAATGTTCAGAAGCAAATAACTAGGAGGTAACTCTAGTCATCTCTTGAACACCTCAGACTCTGAAATTTGCTGTAGATCCTCGACGATGATCCCTGCTCACAATTCATCTCCTTGACGAATCAGAATTACACAGTGTACAGAGGAGGCTGAAACTGAATTAATAACCCCAGCTTCAACCTACCTCCGCCCTCTGAGTATTCTCAAGTACTACAGTTCATTATTTCCACCGTTCAAAAAACTCAGGAATCCAATTTCCTTTCTCGACGGATAGAAATTAACCAGTGTATGAAGGCAAATCAGAAACCACGATTGAATTCAGTGGCTTCAATTTACCGCCACCACAGGTAAATCTCACCAAATTTCTGGACCAATTGAACTTAACCAGCGTGCAGTGGCAGTCGGAATCCGCTTTTAAATCTATGGATTCAACTTGCCGCCGCCCGCTGAATAATTCCATCAGTACAGTACAGTTAAGTATTCAATTCAATATATACATTCAATACTTGACAATTCAGAATTTACTAGCCTGGTTCCAAAGTCTCCTGCACTGCATTAACCCACGCAGCAAACCATCAAAACCCGCCAATTAGTTCTATGCTTTTAAATGAACTTTTTAAGGAATTACAGATAATTTCTTTAACCTATGAACCCCCGCAAAGGGATTTGATCTTGGACCTTTTGAACACGGACCTCTCCGCATATCCTCCAAGCCACCCAGACATGGGCAATTTTGAAACAAGTTGACTCAAGGTTATAAAATAAGGCATAGGAATAATCCTAACAGAGTGAAAGTCAGAGATCGAGAGAAGGAAAATCAGGGGTAAGCGTGTGCATCCGCGAGAGCCAAGATTTGTTTACCTCTCAAGAGAGCGCACAAGCGCGCACCAACGATAGTTTAAGATTAGATCACACATTGTGTGTTTAAATAAAGGATAGGACAAACATTAATCCAAAAATTTTATGGTTGTTTAGGGATTCCAGTCTTGGGTTTTTTCCTCGACGATTTTGTGACAGAGTGTGCGTATCGAGGCTAGGCTTTGAAATTAACAGACCATAGCCTGGACACACAAATCCTGCCTCAAATCTTGAATCTTGAATTTTGACTTCAGTAGATACAGCTACGGAAATCCGGAGACCACGTGTGGTAATTTTTAACCCTTACCTCAGGAAGTATCCCATATTCCATGTCTCTCTTCTCCTCAATTCAGCAACTCCTCTCCAGTAGAACGAAACCACGAAATTTTGAGACTGAGGTCATGGTTAATATTTCAAATTCAACTTTGACCTGACTCTCAATGCTTCATAGCCTTTTCAGATCAACGACGTAATCGTAACAAAATATCTAGCAGACTAATCTTGAAGCCATATTTAATATCAAGCAACAAACTTAGTCTGCCAAACTATTCAATTACGAATTTAAATTTCTGCTTTCCTTCCAAGGTGTCCTTTTAGACTGAAGGACCCCCAAAGAACCACGAATCCCTGCTAGGAGATTCGAACCCAGAAGTTTGAAACAGATTTTCAACCTTCCAACCAACTGGGCTACCCGCCTTGGGCAATAGTAGAAGCATTTGAAACAGAAATTTAACTCAAAGCCAGGAAACAAAATTTTAAACTGTGAAACATTTGAATTTCAACTAAAAATCAGAAGTCTCACATTTGGTTTTCCAAACTCAGCAAAAAGTAGGAAAATAAGTCAGAGATCCTCAAAAAATACGCTTCAGCGTAATAGACACCCAAGTGGAGGCCGCCCTCCAGTGAGGAATGAAAAGGGTCCGCCAAATAGAGCAATTTAGCAGGAGCAATAAAACGACAGCTGTCAAAAAAGTGCTGTCAACAAGATTAAGACAGTGTCACACAACTTTCCGGATAGAAAAGATTGTGACACAAAATAAATTAAAATGCTTTACACAAGGAATGAGGACGTAGCTACAAGAATAATAGATCAAATATTAAAAGAAAACAAACATTGTGGACGATTTATGTCATATTCTTTTTATATTCCATTATTCGACCCTGAACAAAGAATTGATTATTTTAAATGTCAAAATAGCTTATGTCCATATAAAATAACCTTGTGGAAAGATAGTCCTTGGAGACATGAGGATACGTTTGAAGAAGACCTATAAAAAGCTAGCATTTCCCAGAGCATCATCAGTCTGGATCGAGAAGTGAAAGCATGCAGAACTCAAAATTGGTGATATTTCTCTTGTGTGTATTGATCCCAGGAAACCGAACTCAGTTGTTAAAAAATCTTGGTAATCTAGCACATGATGAAGTAGGTGTGGCAGGATCAGCTACAAATATAGCAACTGATATATTATTTCCCCTACCTCCTCTTTTACAGGATAACAAGGCTAAGGAAGATAATTCAGGACCCACATCTCCAATTAAAAGTTTCCATGGAGATATAGGAATAGTGTACCAACAACAACCCCGCGTTTGTTTCCCACATAACATTTGGACAATAGAACAGCACATTCTTGTAGGTGAAATATCTCAGAAAATAAAAACTATTCTTGATGATACTAATCAATACTATACTAGAGCTACAAATAAAACAGATGAGCATTTCTCAGAGCATCATCAGTCTGGATCAAGAAGTGAAAGCATGCAGAACTCAAAATTGGTGATATTTCTCTTGTGTGTATTGATCCCGGGAAACAAAACTCAGTTGTTAAAAAATCTTGGTAATCTAGCAAATGATGTAGTAGGTGTGGCAGGATCAGCTACAAATATAGCAACCGACATATTATTTCCCCCACCTCCTCTTTTACCAGATAACAAAGCTAAGGAAGATAATTCAGGACCCACATCTCCAATTAAAAGTTTCCATGGAGCTATAGGAATAGTGTATCAACAACAACCCCACATTTGTTTCCCACATAACATTTGGACAATAGAACAACACATTCTTGTAGGTGAAATATCTCAGAAAATAAAAACTATTCTTGATGATACTAATCAATACTACACTAGAGCTACAAATAAAACAGATGTAGAAGCATATGACGAAATGCTTGAATTATTAAAAAGTGTGTTCTTCATTAAAAAAGATTTAAGAAGAATACTAACCCACTTATANTGATGATACTAATCAATACTACACTAGAGCTACAAATAAAACAGATGTAGAAGCATATGACGAAATGCTTGAATTATTAAAAAGTGTGTTCTTCATTAAAAAAGATTTAAGAAGAATACTAACCCACTTATATTATGAGACACAAACTTATGACAGGAATACGAATCTAGACGTACCCCTAATACCAAATTCTAAATTAAGAGAATTATATGATTCAGAAACATCCAACCCGAGTAAAACTCAGATATTGTTAAAAGCAGGCCAGAAAAGGATCATTCTCCCCACAGAAGATTTATCAAGTTTTCTCGATGACATACAATCAGCTTTTACAAAATATCTAACTTTAAACTTCACAGCATTCTATGCAACCACAGGCTGGCAAATAAACGCAGCATCAACAGGAATAGCAACACGGATACTAGC